TGATGGGGCCTGAGGCTCAGAAGGGGAAGGGAGATCACCCCTGTAAACCTGGCAGGGTCTGTGCATGGTTTGGGGTTGCCTCCTCCTGAGCTGCCCCCTGGTGTTTTCCTGCAGGAGTATCTGAGAATGTGTACGAGGCAGATGATGCTGGGATTTCTGCTGTGGCTCTGTACGATTACCAAGGAGGTGAGTCTGTCTGTTTGGCCTGGGGAGTAGAGGGAAGGAGGTGATCTGCCTGCATGGGAACATGTGGGAGGGGTTATCCTGGATGGCAGGTAGGGGAAGGAGAAGGGCTGAAGGTTCTGCCTGAATAACGATGCAATATTAACCTCATGCTTCAAGGCCTAAGCCAGACTCCAGCTATGAGGGTACGTTACACTTAAGGTTGCCAACTGTCAAATCACACAATCCCAAATACTCTTGTCCGGCCCTGAGGCCCCGCCCCTGCCCCTTCTCCGAGGCCCCACCCCACTCACTCCATCCCTCCTCCCTCCGTCCCTCACTCACCTTCACGGGGCTGGGGCAGGGGGTTGGGGTGTGGGCTCTGGACTGGGGCTGAGGGGTTTGGAATGTGGGAGGAGGCTCTGGGCTGAGCCTGGGGCTGGGGATAGGGGTGCAGGAGGGGATGCAGGGTGCAAGTTTTGGGAGGGAGTTTGGGTGCAGGAGTGGGCTCTGGGCAGGGGCAGGGGGTTGGGGTACAGGAAGGGATGAGGGGTGCAGGCTTCAGCCAGGCAACGCTTACTTTGGGCGGCTCCCAATCGGCAGTGCAGTGGGGCTAAGGCAGGCTCGGTGCCTGCCCTGGCCCCGCGCCGCTCCCGGAAGTGGCCGGCACGTCCCTGCAGCCCCTGGGGTGGGGGGGTCAGGGGGCTCCACGCACTGCCCGTGCCCTGAGCACCGACTCCACAGCTCCTATTGGCCAGGAACTGCAGCCAATGGGAGCTGCGGGCGCAGAGCCTACCTTAGCCCCGCTGCACTGCTGACTGGGAGCTGCCCGAAGTAAGCAGGACCAGGGTGTTCTGCACGCTGCCCCCTCCATGTGCCGCTCCCGGAAGCGGCAAGCACATCCCTGCATTACCCCCGCCTGCAGGCACCACCCCCACAGCTCCCATTGGCTGCAGTTCCTGGCCAATGGAAGCTGTAGAGTTGGCATTCAGGGCATGGGAAGCGTGCAGAGCTCCCTGCCCCACCTCAGGGATGTGCTGGCTGCTTCTGGGAGTGGCGCAGAGCCAGGGTAGGCAGGACCCTGCCTTACCCCCACTGCGCTGCCGGACTTTTAGCGGCCTAAAGTCTCCTGGTTTGGCTTCAGTACCCTCCAGGAGATAGAGCCCGACTCCGGGAGACTCCCAGCGAAACCGGGAGGGTTGACAACACTCGTCACGCTGCAATCAAAGACGTGTGGCACCAAGTCTCAGAGCACAGGTCAGTTGACTCAGGTTAGCAGGGCTCAGGCGGTGGGCCTAAATATTGCAGTGTAGACATTTGGTCTGGGGCTGGAGACTGGGCTCCGAGATCCACCCCCTTTGCTCAACTTTTTTATATTTTATGATTAAGGCCGAACCTATAAACTGCAATTTTTAGCCCACCAGCCTGAGCCCCGTGAGCCCGAGTCAGCTGACTTGGCCAGTGTCAAGGAGTGTGGGGGAGTCCAGGCCCTGCATCCCCCTTCCTGGGATCCACTGAGACTCTCAGCCAGCCAGTAAAACAGAAGGTTTATTGGACAACAGGAACACAGCCCCCAACAGAGCTTGTGGGTACAACCAGGACCCCTCAATCACGTCCTTCTGGGGGAGCAGGGAGCTTAGACCCCAGCCCTGGGGTTCCCTGTGTTCCTCCACCCAGCCCCAAACTGAAACTAACCCCCCCCCACTCCCCCCCAGCCTGTCTTCACATTCCTGGGCAGAGGTGTCACCTCCCCCTCCCCCTCCCGGCTCAGGTGACAGGCTCTCAGGTCTCCCATCCCCAGGGCACATTCCCAGGTCAACACTCCCCCCTCCCTGCTGCGTCACATCGTCACAGCCAGCCATTGCTTTGCTGCAGGTCTTTGATTGGACGGAAGAACCCAATGCACAGCTACAGACTAGGGACCGAATGGCTAGGCAGCAGTTCTGCGGAAAAGGACCTAGGGGTGACAGTGGACGAGAAGCTGGATATGAGTCAGCAGTGTGCCCTTGTTGCCAAGAAGGCCAATGGCATTTTGGGATGTATAAGTAGGGGCATAGCAAGCAGATCGAGGGACGTGATCGTTCCCCTCTATTCGACATTGGTGAGGCCTCATCTGGAGTACTGTGTCCAGTTTTGGGCCCCACACTACAAGAAGGATGTGGATAAATTGGAGAGAGTCCAGCGAAGGGCAACAAAAATGATTAGGGGTCTGGAACACATGAGTTATGAGGAGAGGCTAAGGGAGCTGGGATTGTTTAGCCTGCAGAAGAGAAGAATGAGGGGGGATTTGATAGCTGCTTTCAACTACCTGAAAGGGGGTTCCAAAGAGGATGGCTCTAGACTGTTCTCAATGGTAGCAGATGACAGAATGAGGAGTAATGGTCTCAAGCTGCAGTGGGGGAGGTTTAGATTGGATATTAGGAAAAACTTTTTCACTAAGAGGGTGGTGAAACACTGGAATGCGTTACCTAGGGAGGTGGTAGAATCTCCTTCCTTAGAGGTTTTTAAGGTCAGGCTTGACAAAGCCCTGGCTGGGATGATTTAACTGGGAATTGGTCCTGCTTCGAGCAGGGGGTTGGACTAGATGACCTTCTGGGGTCCCTTCCAACCCTTATATTCTATGATTCTATGATTCTATGATTCTATGATTGCAGTGTAGATGTACCGTTAGAGACCAGAATGAGACCTAATGTGGGAGCAAAATACCCCTGCCCTGCTTCTGCCCTGTTCTTGTGCACTCCTCTGAGGCATTTGGTACCAGCCACTGACAGATCCTGATTCCAGACTAGGTGGGCTGTGGGTCTGACCCAGTCGGTCAATTCCTATGGTCCTATGCTGGGATGGGACACTGAGGAAGGGGAGGTGGGGGGAACCACTGGTGTGGGATGTAAGTGGAGAGGAGGGGAGGTCTGCCAGGATGTGGTGGTGGCCTCTGCTGTACTCCCCATTGGGGTAATTTTTGCCCCCCGCCCATCCCAAGGTGTCTTTGCCCCCAGGAACAAATTGCATTGTGCCTCATTTTCCGCTTTCATTTTTGCAGAAGGTGACGATGAAATTTCCTTTGACCCCAATGACACCATCACTCACATCGAGATAGTGGATGAGGGCTGGTGGCGGGGGTGCTGCCGTGGCAGAGTTGGCCTCTTTCCAGCTAATTATGTGAAGCTACTTCAGTGAGACCTGCCATTGCCCAAACCCCTCTGGGCTGCTGCCTCTTACTGCTTCAGCGCTTTATGTGTAGCCAGGGAGCAGCTCAGCTCAGCCCAGCTTGCCAGCGTGAGAGAGAAATTAATAAGAAATGACAAATAGGATCCTGGGGGGCAGCCTGGCCCATGTGGGAATGGGGTGGGGGGTGAGTAAAGAATGGGGCATGGGGTCTTTCCCCTCTTGGAGGTGCTGGTTCCAATCCAGCCCCAGGGTGGGAGCACTGGCTGCCTCAGGGGAGTGGGGAATAGGATATGGGACCTTTCCCTCTAGGTTCTCATTTAAGATCAACCCCTGACTAGTAATCACCAAAGTCTTCTACATGTGCTAGCCTCTCTTACCTGTGTGGGGGGCTTAGCTCAGTTCTGGGTGCACCTATATCTGTGTAACAGAAACTGTCCCATGGATGGCAGCCGTCCCAGAGGCCAAGAGCAGACTATGCCATGAGGAACAAAGTCCTTGTAACACTCTGAGAGGTTCAGCTCAGGCCAGGGTAAGGCACAACAGCAAATAGGAGGGGGAGGCTTGAGCTTTTGCTGCCTGGGGGTAAACAGGACTTCAGCCTCCAGGGCGGGGAACTGGGAACCTTTTGCCTTCACTAATCGTACCAAGTTCTCCTGTCTTGAATTTGTGACTTTGGCTGTACTATGCTGCTCCATTAAATGGGAGATGCCTGTGCAGAGGCAGACAATAAAGGAGAATCTTGCTAAAGCCTTAGACTTCCTGCCTTTTGTTCCTCTGTCCGGTGAAACTATGGCTGGATACCGCGTCCCAGTTCTCGGGTCAAGCCTTTGAAAAGGGTATTGGAAACATTAGAGAGGGTTCAGAGAAGCACGAGCTGAGGTCTGGGAAACAGGCCACAGAGTGAGACACTAAAGGACCTTACCTAGTTAGCGTAGGTTGAGAGGTGACTTGAGCGTGAGCTAGAAGGTGATACCAGAGGGACGATTAATGGGGCAGACACAGGCAGAACAAGAGCTAATGCACAGGGGCAATGGAACATTTCTACTTGGAAAAGAAACTCTTTTTCTGTCTAGAGTGAGTGTAATTAACCACTGGGACATGGGCCCAGGGATGTAGTAAATTGTCCATCAGTTGGAGTCTTTGAATCAAGCTTGGAGTCCTCTCTGAGTCGGTCTAGTTCAACCACAAGTTTTTGGCCTGGAGACAGGAATCACTGGGTGAAATTCTCTGGTCTGCATTAGGCAGAAGGTCAGACCAGATAATTGGCCTTAAATCTGTGGATCTAATATCAGGATGGTGCCGATACTATTGGGACATCTGGTCACCCTAGGGCCATGGCCCCACCTACCCCCTCCCCAGCTCCTCACTATGATTAGCATGTGTTCCTGAGCCTTATGTGTATGCAGTGTGTGTGTGTGGTGAGGGGCCACATTGTGTCCCATTGGCAAGAGCCAGGGCTAATGTGGCCCTTGGCACCAAGCCCTGAGCTCCTTACGCCCATTGGAAGCAATGTAAAACTGAGTCAGGGCCTAAGTCTGGCCTCCTTGAGGCCTTCCACTCCTGTGCCTCATCCTTCCAACCCCTTTGGAGCCCACCCACCAACCCCAGTGACCACAGCAGATGCACCATTTCTGGGAGCCTTTATTGGGATTTATTACAGTACGTCTGCAGTATGCCCACCCTGGGGTTGGCCTGTTACATGAGAGAGATCTGGGCAACTCACACAGCTTGCCCCAAGCCTACTGTACAACAGGGTGCAGGGAACGGACTGAACTGGAGTAGGGTAGGGGTAATGTGTGTCCAATTTCTTTTTAACGTATACAAGAGAAATCCAATACAAGCCCCTCTGTTAAAGAGCAAACAGACTCAGGTACCTCACACCAACCACCTCCTGGCAGCTGCTGAGCCAGACCACAATCCCGAGGCTAGGATTTGCTAACTACTACTTTAGAGCCATTTAAATACCATCAGAGTAGTAATAACCCAACCCCGGGTCTGTTTAATAACAGTTGAGCAGCTACGTAGCACAGTCTAAGCTGTAAACAAATCACAGCACATGAATGACAGCTTCAGCAACAAGCAGCAAAGCCCTTGGCTATCAGCGCTCAGTCCACTTGTGCCAGCACCTCTTAGCTGAGGGTCTCCGGGAGCTTCACAGATATGGATGACTCAAGCCCCTTGGGAGTAGCATAAGGTCCCTGTTCGTTCTTGGGCACCGCGCCAGCTAGCACAGAGCTACCAGCACTCTGTAAAGACACAGCCCACCACAGGAAGGCAATTGTGTGATTTATTTTGGAGCAGTTTCTCTGCAGTAATTTGTCCTGTCCCCTCTCCTCAGGAACGTCTGGGCTCTTGGAAACATTTGCTATTTATTTCTTGTGTTGTCTGCATGGTGTCCCAATCTGTCATGTTCCTGTACCAGGTACGGACGGGCTGCAGAGCTTGCATCTGTACCAGAGGCACTCCAGATCTGCTCATCATGAGCTCAGTCAATGCAGTGACAGGTTAGCTTAGAAAATATTTGATACAGGGTGTTGCATCCCATGAAGTGAGCTGTAGCTCACAAAAGCTTATGCTCAGATAAATTTGTTAGTCTCTAAGGTGCCACAAATACTCCTTTCTTTTTAGGTTGTCACCTAGTGGCTGAACAGTGTAATACAGTTTAATGTTTCACTACCGCTTCTCTAGAGGCTCTGGCGGACAGGGCCCAGTGATGCGGGAGCACGTCTGTTCTTCTGGGGCAGGGGAGTGCAAATACAGTCAATCAAATGGGATCTATGAAAATTGTTGTAGATGCGGGGGAGGCGCCTGTAACGCAGCTGGTGCCGAGGGGCAAACCCACCCCCAGGTTACATAAACATTCTTTCCAGAAACAGCTACGGGGTGCACCCTGTTGGCAGCTAGCCAGGGAGGAAGTGGTGTCAGGGGAGCGCTAGGAGTTGGGAGGTCTCTCATGGAGGAAGCTTCCTAGGCTCTACTCCCCCAACCCCTCCTCCCCATTCCTCTTCCCGCCCTGGATGCCCTGCAGAGGGAAGCACCCTTCCAGCACCCATCTGCCAGGGAGAGGAGGGGAGGGAAAGGGAGTGATCGGTGATGCTGCCTCACCCTGCAAAAAGTGTGAAACGATCATGCCTGCCCTGCAATAGCCCAGCCCCTGCTGCCCAGAATACCAACATTTGAACAATTATGTTTCTAGCTTTTATGGTTGTATGGAAACCCAGTGAATGTGTTTATCCCCATCCCAAACTGCCTCCCTTGTGGCTCAGACACCCAGCTCCCACAATGTAGTTCTGCATTTTCAATACAAATCTCTGCAGTACCTTGAAATCTGAAAATTATGGAGCAGCCTAAAATAACTTGAATATTATGATAATCAATAATGTGTGTGTGTGGGAGGAGAGGGGATTTTTGCTGATTGAACTATTTCACATGACGGCTTTTATTGATCTGATGCTACTCTAGCGGCTCCTGTCTACTACATCAGTTTTGCAGAATCTAGGGGCTTTGTGCAGGACATAGGTCGAGCCATTTAGCTTCAGAGACATGGCAGAGAGCCTTGCTAACAATGGTAGCTGTGAAAGGAGTCCCTCTGCCCCATACCCTGGCTCCTTACACAGCTGCCAAGTCTAACAAGCCATTTCCCTTGGAAGTGAAGAGGAGCCATTACAGTCAGAGCAGAGCAGGAGTCACCTCCCAGCTCTCACCTCAGCCGGGACCTCACTGCCTGCCTGGGGAAGAATATTCCCTCCTCTGGCTCCCTAGAGCCTTCCTCAGGGCCCCCTTCATTTCCTGGTTGTGGAGGCTGTAGATGAGGGGGTTCAGCATGGGGTTTGACGATGCAGTACAGTGTGGAGACCAGGGTGTCCACCCCCATGGAGTAGCCTGCACTGGGGAGATTGTAGTTGAGGTTGGCCATCCCAAAGTATATGGTGACCATGATCAGGTGTGCGGCGCAGGTGGAGAAGGCCTTGCGCCTTCCTCTGTTGGAGCGGATCCTGAGGATGGCTGCCAGGATGTAGAGGTAGGAGATGATGATGAGCAGAAATGGGCTCAGGCCCACGAAGATACTAGCCAGATGGAGTGTGACCTCATTGACATAGGTGTCACTGCAGGTGATCTTCAGCAGGGGAGGGACATCACAGAAGAGGTGGGGAAGCTGGTTGGCGTCACAGAAGGATAAGCTGGAGGCCATGAAGGTGTGTATGGCTGAGTCCAGGAGACCCCAGAGCCAGGACCCCATGGCGAGTGGGAAGCACACCTTCCGGCTCATGATGTCAGTGTAGCGCAGGGGGTTGCAGATGGCTGCGTACCGGTCATAGGCCATGACGGCTAGGAGTGCGCACTCGGCTCCCGCGCATGACATCAGGAAGAACATCTGGACCATGCACTCGCAGTAGGAGATGGTCTCCTGCTCACGCAGGAAGTTCACCAGGATCTTGGGGACTGTGACTGACGAGAAGCAAATATCCAAGCAGGATAAGTGGCTGAGGAAAAAGTACATGGGGCTGTGAAGATGGGAATCCAGCTGGATGAGGGTGAATATCATGGAATTCCCCACCAGGGTGACGAGGTAGAGCTCTAGAAACACCAGGAAGAGGAAGGCCTGGCCATGGGGCAGGCTGGAGAAGCCCAGGAAAATGAACTCTGTCACCTGTGTCTGATTCTCCTGTTCCATGGGGCCAGTAAAGTTTGGCTGTGGGGAGAGGGACAGGAAGAGAGAAGAGACTGGGAGTGAGTCAGGAATTCAGAGCTAAACCATCTTCAGCAGCACGCCTGTAATTTCACATGCAGAAGGGCTGGACACTTAGGGTATGTCTACACTGCGGTTAGACAGCTGGGGCTGGCTGCTGCCAGCTGACTTGTGTTCGCGGGGCTCGGGCTGTGGAGCTGTTTCACTGCAGTGTAGACGTCCAGGCTCAGGCTAGAGCCCTGGGCTCTAGGCCCCTGTGAGCTGGGAGGGTCCCAGAGCTCAGGCTGCAGCCTGTGCAGGAAGGTCTACACAGTAATGAAACAGCCCCGCAAGCCTGAGTCAGCTGGCATCGGGTCAGCCATGGGTGTCTAACTGCAATGTAGACATACCTTGGGTCTGTCAGGAGCTTCCACTCCCACAATCCTCCTTTAGTTTTGTCCTTCCTGAGCCCTGTGTCTTACAGAATGATCAGGTTCCTAGTCAGGATCGGGACCACATTGTGCAGGGCACGTATGCAGGGAGGAGTGCATGGTAGGCCAGTGCCCTGCCTGAGCTGACAGCCCGTTAATTTGTCTAGCTTCAGCTATTCCAGCCATTGGCTCTTGATATGCCTTGGCCTGCTAGATTAAAGAGTCATCTACAGTCAAATATTTGTCCCCCATGTGGGTGCTACATTCTTTGTTCCTAAGTGCATGACCTTACATTTGGCCATATTAAGCTTTCCCATTTACCAAGCAATCAAGATTGCTCTAGATCAGTGAAAGGGCTCAACAATCATTTGAGGGCTGGAATGAAATTGGCTTGCACTAAGGGACTCAGGAGCTTGATTTGTCTAGCTTACCAAAAACAAGGTTAAGAGCTCCCTTGATTGACATGTGTGAGTACCTTTTGTGTGGGGAAATAGCGCTAGTAAAGGGCAGCTGGCGGAGAAAGGTGTAACAAGAACCAATGGCTGGAAATTAAAGCCAGACAAATTCAAATTAAAAATAAGGCTCCAATTTTTAACAATGAGAGTGATTGACCATTGGAACAAACTGCCAAGAGACGTGGTGGATTTTCCATATTTTTGTCTTCAAACCCAGGCTGGAGGCCTTTCTGGAACATGTGCTTTATCCAAACACAAGTTGTTACATTCAATACAGGAGCAACTATGGGCTATAATCCTTTGGTCTAATTTCGGTTGCTGGGTTTAATGTGTAGGGGCTGGATATGTGTGTGGGTGGTCTGTGATATACAGGAGGTCAGACTAGATGATTTAATGACCCCTTCTGCTGTTACAGTCTACAGAGCAAATAACATGTTAGCATGCATAAGGTATGGGATAAAAACTAATGTTGAAAATGATTGTGCTGTTATGTAACTCAGTGGACCAACTCACCTGATATACTGGGTTCTGTTCTGGTCACCCTATCGTAGACAAGATATAGCAAAAACAGAGGCACTTTTTAAATGTGTGATAGAAACCCAGAAAATATCCATTTGAAGGGAGTGTTAAAAGATTGAGACTGTTTAGTTTAGAGGGGAAACAAATTAGAGGAGATATGATGATGGGCTACAAAATAATGAAAGGGAGAGAGTAGAGCGGTTGCTTCTGTTTACCCTCTCTCACAAGAGCTGATTTCTCTGTTACGTTCACAGCATACACACAGACAGGTTTAGATACAAATATAAATAATCTTGCTGAAAGGCTGCAGCATAGAATTAAAATTCAGAACAATTACACACAAGAACCAAAAATCAGACAGGAAATAAGCTGCTCCCTAAGCCAGAGAGAGACAATGCCCCACCTCTGTCTAGACTGACTGCGGCTCCCAGAAATGTCACCACAGAGCTGCTAGCCTGCAAGCAGAACCAGAAAACTCACCCACTCCAGGTTACAGCTTGCAATCCAGCACAGCCCTCAGTGCACCACGCTCAGGAGCACACAAGGCAACTGAGTGCAATAGATTGAAAGCTCAGTAGGAATCAGAGAAGGATCCCACGTGTATACAGATAACGAGAGCATTCAGAACCATGTGAAATAGAGTAACACAATTACAAGGGCTGTAAAGCCTCCCACTCAGGGCAAGAGCCAGCCTCTGACTGATGGGGTTCAGAAGAACTTCCTGCTGTGCAGTTGTTGTTTCATTCTGGGTTTCTTGCCTTTTCCTCTGAACAGCTTCAAGGTTGAGATCTGTAGGGTTGAAAAGAAAGTGAACAGCTTCCCTCTCATTACCTAGAGACACTGGGAGGAACAGGCGAGGGCCATGTCTACACTAGCGAGCTTACAGTGGCACAGCTGTACCAAAGCAGCCGATCGCTCCCATAGCCGCTCTTGGCCAACGGGAGCGAGCTCTCCCGTCGACATAATTAAACCACCCCCAACGAGCGGCGGTAGCAATGTCGGTGGGAGAGCATCTCCCGCCGACATAGCGCTGTCAACTCCGGCACTTCTGTCGGTGAAACTTACATCGCTGAGGGGGGTGTTTTTTCACGCCCCTGAGCAACGTAAGTTACACCGACAAAAGGGCTAGTGTAGACATAGCCTCAGTTGGAGCCTGAGCTAGTGCAGTGTGTGTGAGGGTCCAGTCAGAAACCAAGGTTGTTATTACAACAGCAGCCCAGAAACAGGAGAGAAACTGCACAGAGTCCGGTTCCGTGACCGAATTAATGTTGCTGTGGAAACCATGACACTGTCTTAATTTTGTGTTAAGGTTCTTTTTACTTTTGATTTCCCTATTTTTAAAGAAAATGCTGGAGTTACAGGACAGGCGGCCACACGGGAGGAGATTCTGGCAGAGAAGAGCAAGGTCTCTCTCCTTACTACTCGTGGGTAACGTCCCACCCCAGGCCCAGCTGTGGCGCTGGCTGCACGGTCAGAGGTTTGGCACAGCTGTCTGGTCACGTTCCTAAAGCTTCACAGGTTCACCAAGGTGCTGGGTGCTCTGGGTAGGGGAAATGCTGCCTAGGCCTAGGGCTGAACTTCTGCTCGGGGTGAATTCACCCTCTGTGCTGGGAGAGGGCAGCTGCCCTTCCCTGAGAAACCGTGAACCCTACCACTAGGGACCCTGCAGCAGCTTTGCTCCCATGGGGCTTGGACAGAGAATCGCTTTGCTCTGCAATGTTCCACTGGCACAGACATTTCCCTTCCACGCCTGTCAACGTGACTCTTCTTTGGGGAGATGCCCTACTGGACTCCAGCTCCCGCACCCCACCCCTCTTTCCCACGCACCCCAGGAATCATAGAAATGTCAGGCTGGAAGGGACTTCAAGAGGCATCAAGTCCAGCCCCCTGCACTGGGACAGGACCAAGTAACCCTAGACCATCCCTGACAGGTGTTTGTCTAGCCTGGTCTTAAAACCCTCCAGTGATAGGGATTCCCCAACCTCCTTTGAAAGACTTTTTCCAGAGCTTAACCACCCTAGAGTTAGAAAGCTTTTCCTAATATCTAACCTAAATCTCCCTTGCTGCAGATTAAGCCCAGCTACAATAACACTGCATACCCACCTTAGAGTAATTTAATCTAGAATGCATTTCCCTAGTTTGCTTTTTAGAGTGTCCTTTGGGACTATGTCAAAAACCTTACTAAACCCAAGACACAGCATGTCTACTGCTTCCCCCCTCCACTAGTTCTGTAACCCCACTGAAGAAGAAAATCAGGTCGGTTTGGCATGCTGTGTTCTGGACACATCAATGCTGGCTAGTCCTTATACCACTGTTTTTTTCTAGGTGCTTTGTTCCAGTATCTTTCCACATAGTGAAGATAGGCTGGCTGGTCTATAATTCCCTGCGGCCTCTTTGTTCCCCCTTTTTGCAGATAAGTGCTATATTTGCCCGTCTTCGGGGATCTCACCTGTCCTCCATGAGTTTTCAAAGATAATTGCTAATGATCCTGACATTGTTTCAGCTACTTCCTTAAATACCGCAGGCCGAATTTCATCAGGCTCTGTGGACTTGAACACATCTAACTTAGCTAAATAATCAGTAACTCTCTGACCCTTTCTCTCCATGCAGCGGAAGCAGCAGGATCACTGGCTGACAGCCCCATGGGGAAGGGGCTGGGACTGGCTTTCAGCTCCTTCATCCCTGGGTTTCAGTGAATGTTAGAGCCCAGAGCAGAGGCTGCAGAGCGACTTACCCAGCAGGGTGTCCTGTCGCTGGGTCCATCGCTCAGGCTGGAGCCACACGGGCATGGCGGAGAGGAGGGGGTGTCAGCAGCTCTAGCTGGGCCCTTGCTGAACCTCTGCCATTGGGAGTTGGTGGGACGGCAGCTCACACTTACATCAAATGCTCTGTGAAGAGAAAAGATCATGGAAATGCCTGTGTCTCACCTGCCTGAGGAGGAACCCGTCTGCTCCCTGGGTCTGAGGCTGGGGCTGCCTGGAGGGTATGGTATTTAACCCTGGTGAGGGAGCCCGGGGGGGACAGATTCTCAAAGGTGGCTCATCGCTAATGGCAGGAACAAAGCCCGGAAAAAACACTCCTCTTCCCACTCCACCCCCATGGGGCTTCTTGGCTGTTGGTACTGGAGCTAAGCTGGCTGGTTGAAACCCAGAACATGGACTTTACTGGCCTCTCCCAGCCCAGGATCACCCAACCCCAAGCCACTACTGTGTAACACCAGCCAAAGGGCTTTGCTGCACATCTTAACCCTCGCACTTCACTCCACACTTGTGCACCCCCTGTAACTTAGACCCAGGATCCTGCCTTATCTACCTCACCCAAACACTCGCCCTTACACCCAGCTCCTGACCGTACTGCCCTTCAGATCCTGCTGTACCTCCCCCTGCATCATCCTCACACCCAGCTCCTGACCCTACTGCCCTTTTTTTTACCCCCCCCTTCACCCCCCACCCCCCTACGCCCTTCAATCTCGTACCTCCCCTCATCATCCTCACACCCAGCTCCTGACCCTACTGCCCTTCAGATCCTGATGTACTTACCCCTGTGTCATCCTCACACCCAACTCCTGACCCTACTGCCCTTCAGATCCTGCTGTACTTACC